AAACTCTTATATTAAGCTCTAATGATTTAATTACACCTATTTATATTAAGTTTAATATATTGCTGGTATCAACTAATATAATTCTAAATAAATTTAATTTATATTTCACTAACATAGATTTTAATGAAACTAGAGGTAGTACGAGTAGTGAACTACAACAACAAAAACTCATTTTTATATTATTTTAATTAATTGAATACTTTGCTGGCCATACAGCTGTTTCGAGTATTACCAAATACCCATTATCAGTGGCCTTGGAATTATTTCTTGTATTTAATTATTCGTAAATAATTTTTTTTTTTGAGACTGCAAGTACTAGGATTCGAACTTGTGCCCCGCCAAATTTGAAGCTCAGAGTTAACGTTTATTAGTTAACTGACCCAAAGCCGTACTTGACTTTTATATTCGCACATATTTCTGGATTTTTGAGAATTTACTGTAAAAGTTTTATTAACAAATTCACTTGCTCTATTTTTATTAGAATTAATATATTTGTGTACTTTATTTTTATTATATTTTATTGAATTTAATTAAAAGTTTACTTTTGTACATGAAATAAATTTCTTGTTATAGGACATTATTAAACAGTACAGACATATTTTTAAGATTATAGTGTTTTAATACTCGTATGTATTCAATAGGTTTTTAATCAATTAAGAATGTTTTGAGAAGAACATCTTTGAGATTAAAAGCAATTTTATAGCCACTTCGTAGCTTATAATAATTTTATATATTATGTATTATTTACTAATTTCTATAATCTTCATATTGCTTAGTCACAACATTTATGTATAGTATATATACTTACTATATAGCCATGTGTAATACTTAGTATTACTAACACGTTCCTTCAACAAGGTGGATTCTTGACCACTTCGTTGTATCTGCATTTCTCTGTATTCAAACCTCATTTCCGTTTTTTTTTTAGTTTTGCCTTTAAAAAATCATTTGCAGCTATTTGAGCAAATATGAAATTTAATAAAAAACCATTAATAACAATTTAATTAATTACTTTTCATTCTTTATTTGTTCGCTTAAAAAGTCTTACTAAGTCACATATGGACATAGTATTTTTCTGTTAATAATTAATTAGGCATTAAACCAAACATGCGCGCTTGAATATTCAGACAGAAAAAAACTCAATTATAATTCGTTTTTAATAATTAAAAATATGAAAATATGAAAATATGCCGTTTTTTAACCTAATTATATATAATTGAAAACGTGTGTCATACACGTGAAAAAATTATTCAAATAACCCAGAAACGAAAATAAAAATTTTGTTGTGATGAGTCAAAAATCTGGGTTAAGGTTTCTGAAATGCAATGTCAATGTAAATGTAAGAGTAAACAAAATACGAAACTTTAATTATATATTCACATTGAATATTCATAACATATCTATATCTATTTCTCTATGGATTGTGAACAATGTAACTAAATTGATGTATTTTCTTTTCTTTATCTTAATCGTATTATTATATATTCATCGAAGTAAATTTTTTAAGTTCATTTCTAATATTTTTAATTTTGCTATGCCTTAGGACACACTCACAACTCCTCTATTAATTTATGATTAATGATATTTGGGATAGGTTGTAGAGATTGCTTAAGCAGTATCGCATGTAGTCAATTTTCAATTGTACTTATGCGAAATAAATAATACTTAACTGCAAAAAATATAATTTCATTTTCGTGTACTTTATTTTCAATATAATATTACTTTAATTCAGTCTATTAAGCGACTGTGATTGAGATCTCTATATTAATTTACTCTTATCGCTATCCTCAAATATGAATGTTGTTTCTTTGTTTAGGATGAGTTTCCGCATGTTTTATCAAAAAATTATATAGATTGATAAGCTTGAGTTCTATACAATCATCAAAAACTAAATAATAGATTTTATAGTTTAACCAATACCGTGAATGTTTGTATCCTTGCGTCCTTACATTTCAACATATTCACATTCATATATAATAAAGAAAGGAAGACTTAATACTTAATTTCCTCTTCTAATGTCCTTGACTTTTACTACACAAAAAGAACCTCTCTACAAAACTGCTATCTGCAAATTTTTCCATTTTCCATTTTTTTTCAGAGATGTAAAATATACTAATTTTAACATCACCCTTATTGTTAGAAATATGAGGACATTTCGATTTTTAATGAACTTTATTTCTAATGATCTATAATCTGCATTTACTCTTCTATATACTACATATTTGTAGATTTCAAAAACAAACTAAAGACATTTCGTTTTTAAAACAAAAATATAAATATGATATTCGACGAACTAATAATGCTAACGCCGTGTACCGGAGGTTCAGAAACGTTGGAATACGTTAAATCGATATAGCAAATTTGATTTGTAGTGTAAAAGTGCAGTGTTGTAGCTTTGGCTACAACATGGCTTAAATTTTTGAAAAAAAATTGTTTATATACATATGATAGCCAACTTGAATGCTTCTTTTAATAATAGCAAGATGCCTTCAAAAATTTGCTCCAATGGACTCTCCAAACTCTGTGCAACCCTACGTGTATACTAACTTTTAAAAATTTATTATATTTGAGACATTAGATATCGTATACCAATTGTAAGAATTTATTTTATTAATTTTAATATTTTAACAGGTGTAAGTATTCTTTCAAAGAATCCAAAATTATTATTCAAAGAATTAAAAAATCCGAGAAATTTACCAATTATTCAATATTTGATCAAGTGTTTTCTTTTCCATTGTTTTTCGGATGTGTTCAAGTATTGCCCAATCTTGTACACCGTACACTCGAAATAGTCAATTAAGTGCTTTAGGCAATGCTTGTTATATGAACTGAATTAACTGATAAAGTATTTCAAAATAAAATAAAATGAAACACTTTGACGTACATTTAAGCACACAAATAATTCTGAACAAAATTTTTATCAATTCGAACGAAACATTGCCTTATTTGGACATGAATTGGGTTAACGCTTCGTTAATAGCGATTTTTCGGGTTTTTTTTCAATGGACGGAAGAATTTATCAAATATCGGAAACGTAACAAATGAAACACTTAATGGGTCGAACCCCGTAAATTGCGTGTTAAAAGTGTAAATATAGTAAAAAGTGCAAAATGCCAGTGAAATAAAAATAAAAAGTAAATTTGTGGTGTGCAAGGTCGTATCTTATCTGAAATTACGTGGATGGACAATTTATATGCATTGAAGTATTGAGTATCTTTTTTATGTGTTCACATGTGTTTAAGCCATGTGAACTTATTAAAATCTGAAAAAGCGGTCAAGCACTTAAAAACTTTCAGTTAAAATACTAATTATCTATGCGAAATAAAACTTATTTTACTGAGCTTTTCTTCAATATCTTTTTTGTCAATTTGAATTTGCTAAAATGCACACAAATTTAAAAAGTTTTTTAACTGTTTTTGTATTAGATTGGCTTAAATATTTTCTGCCGCATTTTGGAATAAACATATTTAAAAATTTTTTTCTTCATTTGTATATCCTTTAGGTCACAAATCCTTTGTACAAAGCGGCTTTGGTGTTGATTGTTTGGAAATTATTATTTTGCTTTACGATGGCAACATCGAAATTGTCCTTGTGCGGTAGTACTAGTAAACTAGCCTTCTTAGGGCAAGTACTCTATTAGAAAGTCACTAGTTAGAGGTTCGCATAAATATAAAAATTAATTTGGTAATTAATTTTAAATCCACTTATAATAATAATAAAAAAGACACCAAAAATAATTTGCCTTCATCAGACGTTATGTGTTCTTCTCGCTATGTAATTTAATTATAAAAATAGTATTTAAAATGAAAATTTTACTTTAAAAAGAATTTACTATTTTCTGATTTATAAACATACATTAGAACTAAAATATTCTCTTTGAATATAATAAGGTCACTAACAATACAAACATTACACTTAATGCCAACTACAATTTCGAAAGCTCTCTATATCCATAAAATAAAAATTCGTACAAATTGAGATTCTAGAATAATAAAAACTAGCACGCTCACTGATCCAATTTTAGATCTAGATTACTATTAACACTAAATCACCAACCAAACAATCTAGTATAACCAGGAAAACCATTATGTAATCTTAATAGGCTGCGCACATCAACTGCAAGAAGATAAAGTCGAGCCCAATAGAAGATCTAAAGTGTCTTATTATTTACATCCGGCTATAAAACACTCCATGCTCAACTAAAAAGTCAAGATAATCAATCTGCATTATATCTTTAACTGTTTCTTTGTTTTGTATTTATATTCTTGGATTGCATATACCTATATGATAGACTCAGTTTTATTAAATCACTGAGTAAAAGAAACTATATGATTTTGCCTTACATATGTCTAACCCACAGCCATTAAAATATTAGGGATTGCTTTTTTATTATGGTTGATATATAATATTTTTCTTCTCTGAGAGATTACACAACATAAAATATTCAAGTACCTATTCCAATTAATCAAACAAATAATCGCAAAAGATTTGTGTAATATTTTCTCTTCCATTCTTTCTTTCGGAACTAGGAGTGAGTCAGGATTTTCTTCACAGTAACTTCAGAATATTATCGTTCTTAAGACCGTTTTATTGCCTCTAGTCATAGATTCCAAGCTTTACCCATTGTCCCAAATCTGAAAAATCGTATACCTATATGCATTAAAGTTTATTATAATATAACCTTTTTTATGAGTACTTTAAATTAAATTTAGAAAATATGTAGCAGAGTATGCAAGCTCTAATACTATTTTAAGTTATTAATATATATCATACAATATTAAATACATACACAATTTTTTTTTAAAATTGACATATGTATTTCAAAATATTTTATTCATTGCGTAATTTATTTATTAATTTTCATATAACACATTTAAAGTTTCAGGCTTCACCGCTTTTGCGGATTTCAAAATTGCGGCATTAACATCTTTGCCAATTTAAACTTTCTATCATGTTTAAATTATCTAATTTTACTCTACCACAACTTTTTAATATTTTAGATTTACAAAAACGGCGTCGTTTTCATCCTTTACGAAATTTGCGGCGTATTTTTAGACGACGTACCATCACTAATCCAACAGATACACCAACCAGCTTATCAGTGCCACAACAGCCTACAAGTAGTACCAGTGAAAAGAATTTACGTAGTGCTACACTTTCTTCGATATCTTCTGTTGTTTCGGCTTCATCACCATCGTCGCCATTAACACACCAACAAATACAGGAATCATATTCATCACAATCATTGCCTAAATCAAAATCGTACGGCATTGCGAGTAGTATAGGAGCAGCCGTATTAGGTAGAGATGCTGCATCTAAAAAACAAAAGACAAAACAGCAACAACAACTTCAACAACAGCAGTTACAACAATTAAGAGACCAAACGTCGGCTGGTACGACAATAATAAACGATAACGATATGTACACAACAACAACTTCAAGTACATCTTCCTATCATCATAGTCATCACACACAGAATTATGCAAAGCATACATATGTGGGGCCAGGTAATACTCCACAACGACAATCTATAGGCGTTGCAGTATTGCCAACTGCAATGAATCGTAGTTTTTTCAGTGAGCGACAGAAACTACGTAGCGTTGGTGACTCATCGCAGGACCTTGATAGCAGTGGTAATGGTAGTGGTAGTAACATTGATAGCAACAATGCAGGACGTACAAATGATAATAACAGTGGCGGAGAAATGTCCGACAGTCAGAGAAGCTTGAGTGAAGGACGCTTAGTTGACAGGTCAGTTTACAATTAAAGTATTATTAAATTATTATACTTATGATATATTTAAAGTAAATTTATTTATGTCAGATATAAACGAGGGAATTATAAAGAGGTTTAACTAATAGTAATGTTAAAAAGAAGTGAGAAGTAAATTAGAAATACACAGTCAAACTTCCATAACTCGAAATACCATTTTGCAAAGAAATTTTTCGACTAATGGAGACTTCGAGCTAAAGAATTTTTTTGTAATTGTATGTACTTCGCTCTCTAAATCCTGTTGCATTCTATTTAGTTCGAGTTATAGAAAATTCGAGTTATAGAAGTTGGAGTTATTGTACAACTTCATATTAATGATAAAACTACATTTTATATAAATTTGATATCTCTAATTTGTATATAACTCTATATAGTAGCAAAAAATTAACTTAATACTTTTTTTTTCAGTGATTATAATACACAAGATCAACTTTCACAATCGCATGATAGCGTTTTTTCCGAATCTGCGACTGCTAGCAGCCTCTCTTCAGTTCTTAAGGTAAGTTGCAATTATTATAAAGATAATCCTTTTACAATACGTTTATAACCTAATTCTACCATTTCTTGTTCTGACGTCAAGAAATGAACCAGCTAACATTAGCAAAAATACTAAATTAATTAATTTAAATCCGTTTAACAAACTCATCGAGGTCTTCTCATGAGTCATCATAGTGTAAAAATTGTTGGCTATAAAAACCAAACAACCATTTCGATTGAAATTTGCTGATTTAACTTATTTAAAACAAGAGACTACAGTGTCAGCTATCAATTTTATTCACATATTCGTATTTTTTATTAAATTACTGAAAGTATTGCTCACCAAACTTCTCTGTCCATTGTTGATGCAATCAATTTAAATTGATTTTAATCAAATTCAATTTGTGTGTCCTCCTAATAAAAGCAGCTGGAAAGGTTATTTGGACATATTGTAAGAGCATGGAAATATGTACTCACAAACCAGTACCGAGTATTTATTAGTCAAAGGGACAAAGAATTATGGAGCGCTCTGTAAGCGATTAAGTCGCATGTTATTAATTGAACAATGGGTGGTAATAGCACTCTGAAGCTTTTGTGCCATTACGACTACTGGCTCCGGGTAATTGCGATTGTAATATTGAGTAATTGAGTTTCAATTGCTTTCTTTGTACTGCATGAGTATTTGAAGTTGATATTTACAAATAAAAGCAAGTATTTTTAATAAACTTAAATGTTGATATGTGAATCATAATTGAATTCATATTTTCATTAACTAAATGCCGTCGTCGTAAATTAATATTTTTGTAATGAAATTGTAGTTAAAAAGCTTTCCATAATTCCGCGATATAGTACGAGTGTCTCCAATGACATACATTGACATTTTAAGTTAGAATTTTTAATTTTTGCGCTTTCACTGAAAAATGCTTACTCGTTCCATAAACGCTAAATGATTTTTTCACTGGCGATACATATATTTTTATAACATTTTTTTATTTTAATTTTTGAAATGTTAACAACTTTTTGCATAAATAATTTATTTCAATGTTACATATTTCTATTTTGTCATTCTGACATTTGCAAATTTAACCTTTCCAATTACTTCTCCACAGAAATTTTTATGTAAATTTCTACTATTTCCATAATATTTCTGTTTAGAATCCAAAACAATATATTTCAGTTTAATAAATAAAAACAGCTCTCGCTATACAGAAACAAATTTTAATTTTAAACAAATTATTAAAATTTTTGTATATACTCGTATCAACACCTTTACTTTCTGCAACAATTTTAGCCTTGCAATTTATTTCTTTTATTTACAGAAAAAAAATTTTAATTGTATAAACATAAAAACAAATTTTTTTATAACGAAAAATTTTTTTTCTGATGTACACAATGTCATTAAATGTATATATTATATATATAATTTCATCAACAAAATGTAGCAAAATCAACAACTGCACATTATAGAAATTGATCAGATAAATAGCATAGCCTAATCGAAGCCGAACACCAATGTGCTATCTTTTTTAAATCTTCGAATGCGTGCAATCTTCATATCTCTTCTTTTAGAAGGAAAGAGATAACTTCTCCATACAGTAAACACTAATTTGGCACAACGAAACTTACGGTATAGGTTAGCGTACTCAACAGTAAGTTATTATGTTATGAATCAGTCCAAACTGCAGTTTCACCCTTTTTGTGTATGGTTTACGCTTTGGTTCGCATCGTACATTTGTCTGTCATCTCCAAAAGAAAAAATTTCTTCATATAGCAAGTACAGTCCTAATTCAAGTAAGGCTAGAGTATAATCGCGTGCTCTCTAAACATTTACTTGTTACGATTTGGGTCATTTATACCTTACAGGGCAACAAAACAGCTCATTTGCGTTACTTGGACGGCGTTACTTCCATTACTTGAAAACTCTGCCGGCACTGAAACTAACCAATAATTTCTTATGTGTGTCCAAAATGTACTTTTACATGGCACATACTAAGCTAAGTTCAATCTCCACTAAAGAGATAAAGAGATAAATACTGCAAAGAGTATTTAAGCTTCATCAAGTCCAAAGATTTCGTAGCCACTTTCTTTACTGCCTTCATATCGTTAGTTACCTGGTCGTTCCACCAAAGATGCGGACTTCACCTACCACATTTACGACCAGCGAGTACCGAAGCAAATACCTTTCTAGCCAAAGCATTTTCTTTCATTCGCATAGCGAAACCACTAAATTTTTATGCTCTTAACTATTTAAATTATTTTGCATAGATGGTTCATCGTTCCATCTAATTCTATACTTATTGTCACCTTGTAAAGTACCATAGATCTTCTAAAGCATTTTTCTCTCAATTCCTTTTAATACCTTCTCAGTACTGTTGAAAATTTTCCTAGCTTCTGTCCTTCACAGTAGAAAAGGCATGATAAAAGACTATATATGAACTATATATATTAAAATACGTGTGTATATTACGCTCTTTACAATTTTTTCATTTTCCTTTGAAACAAAACTTTATAAAAATCTACAATATTCTAAATGTGGGCCATTTATTTTGAAATTAAAGTAAATCAATTTTTGATTTTGTAAACTCAATAAATCTTTCAAAATTAAATTGAAATGCGACAAGAAAAGCACTTCAATCCTAAATCAATGCACCAATTCCCAGATTTGTAAACAAATCCGCCAAGAAACATGCAAAGAAGCATTCTATAACCAATTTTCAGAATTTATATTGAAAAATAAAAATGAATGAATGAATGAAGAAACTCTTCTAAATCACTCAATTTAACAACAAATTGATTGATTGATTTTTGCTTAATGCCACAAGCTGCAACGTATCGACTTAACAGTGCACCAGACGCATACAGTGCATGGCACGGTACGGAAAAACAAGAAAATGAATTCGAGTATTACAGACGAAAGAGTTGAAATTAGAAAAGCCGTAGAAAATGACTGAATAGAAAAAAGAAATTGAAGAAAATGCATTACATACTCAGCACAAAGCAAGGGGAACCAGAATTTTTGTACCGACGACTGCAACCAATAGCCACAACAACAAAACCGCAGACTCAAAGTCTTGCATGGTTTACTGGCCACATACTTTGTGGTGCTCATGGTTGAAGACTACAAAGGCTTCCTTCTTCTTGCTGCCGGAGCCACTTTTATAACAAGTGGCTTTCAAAGAAAACTAAAAGCATTACCAAGAGGGGGGCTACAGAAAAGCTGATGTTGTATTGTGGCAGCTTCTTAAGATTCCAGCCTGTTTAACATACAAGCATAGCAAATCATACTTTTTAATACGAGGTGCACAGAACAATAACAACATTTAGACTAAGAAGAAACTGAACAGTAACAACAACAACAACAACAACAACCACTATTGCACTATTTAGTATGTATTTTTATGGCTATTGAACTCCACTTTAGACTTCTGGTATATCAGTTTAAATCGAGACTTTTGCACGCGTGTATCTATCTGGACGGTGTTCATTTCCTTGTGTCAAGTGTTTAATTAAAAAAAAAACTAATTAGATTTATTTGATAAATAAAGTTGTTGTTTTTGTTGATTAAAAAGTTTTACCAGTGCTTTAAAGTGAACAAATAAAAATATATTTTTTTTTATTTTTCAATTAATACTTATTCTATGATTATCACCTAATTTTTTTACATTTACACATGTCTATAAAAGCCTATAGACATTGTAACCTATTTTTGCGTAATAGAAATCGTAAAGTGCTCTTATTCTGCTAAGACGTAATTCCACTAATACCATTGAATTTATGACTGTTTTAAAAACTGTCATAAGTCTGTTATATACCAGCGATTGGTTTCTAGAAATAAATCTGTAGATAAGATTCAATTTCGCTTTGAGTCTCCCAATCCGATACAATATTGTTCGTAGAATTCTTTAAATAATTGTCAAGAAAATGTCATATATCATTATCAGATATGATTGGATTATTCGAATTTGTATTGAAGTATATGATCGATAATAAATAGGTGTGTGATCAACTCAAGAGTCTGTTTGTTAAGTTAAAAATTTTCTGTTTCTCTTGGTCCTAAAAATACTTCTGACCTTACTGTTGTAGGGTTTAAAATAACTAATGTGAAGCATAACCCAACAACAACAAGTAAAAGCAATAGTCAAGCTAATCAACCAATGTTTTAGATTCGTTAAATTATTTAGTATTTAATATTTTTTCGAAATATCTCAGCAACATGTACTATTATAATTAAGTTATACATTAATAATGTCATGCATTAAATATCAATTATGAAGTAATCTTTTTCACTGCACTAATAACATCAGTCAGTGTTCAGCTCAAAGAAATGCGTATATTTAAATTAATAAGAGTTAAACTGCCAGCTAACTACACGGAAATATGACAAAAGTGTATGAATGCGTAAACATTTAACTTCCTAATTGATACAGAGTTATATTAAATACTTCTTTAAATGGAATGTGCCATTTTCAATGTATATCTTTATAGTAAACTTATAAATTATATTAAAGATAATTATATATATTATATGATTATATTATTTATTATATAAAAAAATAATCAATAGGTTGATATATTAATTAAAAACATTACAATTTTCAACTGCAATTTACTGGAATCTGTTTATCAAGAATAATGCCTAAGCATGATCTAATATGTTAGTCTATATCTTTCTCTATTCCTTTCTCTTTAACTCTCTCACATTTTATCTATCTCTATCCCTTCTTTCTCTCCTCATTTCCCTTTCTATCTCTCGCGATTTTTGTCTGTCTTTTTCTTTTTCTTTTTTTCTCTTGCTTATCTCTCTCTTGTTCTTTTTTTCTCTTACTCTCTCACTCTCATTCTTTATTTGACTGACGCCATCTTATATCACCACTTCGTCGTAGCTGTTATGTTCTTTTTATATCCTTGGATTTGTATTTTGTTCTCACTAACTCACTTCTCTTATTCTCAATCCTTTGTTAAGGAGTTATCGACTTTTTTTATTACCCTCTTGTTTTTTTTTCTATGTCAGTTTCTCCTATC